GAAGAATAAGGAGTACTGAGAACTATAAGAAAATGAGAGCCAGGGCACCTCTGCTAAGAGATGCTAAAAATACAGACTTCTATGAATATCTTTAAATATTCTGATGCCAAGAAAAAATTTTGGTCTATTAAAAAAATTTAGATCTGTAGGCTAGATTCAGCTTACATTCCCCATTTCTGTCATTTTAAGTAAATAACATCAGCCTGGGTTCCTGGCCTACAGGTGAATCCCAACACAGCTCCCAGCAGGGGAAAGTTCTGGACACAAATTATGACATTTTTCCTTGGGGCCTTTTATAAAATTCCTTCTGTCCTTCTGAAGTCTCACTATGCTAATATAAATGGAGGTAGCTTAGAGTTGTACTTACCTCCCTGTCTGTATCACAAAAGAATGACTCATGTAAAGCACAGCATACCTCATGGAATCTGACAGTATTTTTTTTTGCGGAACCAGGGATTGAACTCCAGCCCTTATGCTTGCCAGGGAAGCACTTATTGTACTGAGCCATCTCCCCAGCCCCCAGTATTTTTAATTGCTTCCAGTGCCACATTGGTTGCTTTTTAAGATTTTAAAAAAATATTTATTTGGTACAGGATGTCTCTACACAGCTCAGACCTGTAGTGATCCTCCTGTCTCAGCCTCCCCAGCACTAGAATTATAGGTGTGTACCACCACACCATTCCAGTAGCTGGGATGGCGCACTGAGGGTTCCAGGGCAGATACAGCATGTAGTACTAGAGATAGAACCTAGGTCCTTGTGCTTGCCTGGCAGGCACTTAGAACTCCAAGGTATCTCTCTAGCCACCTTCTTTGGTTTTTTTTGTAGTTTGTTCAGCCTGCCCTGGGTGCGGGGCTGGCATGGCATGTGGTGCTGGGGATCGAACCTCGGTCCCTAAAGCTTGCCTAAGCACGTGTTTTAGACTACTGAACTATCTCACCAGCCCTCCCCAGCCTTCTCCTTGCCTGTTCTGTTTAAGAGAAAGCACATCGCCAGTGCTGTTCTCTAGCTCCTACCAGCCACTAATTTTTTTTTTTTTCTTTTCGACTTGAGACAGGGTTTCCTATGCAGTTCAGGCTGGCCTAAAACTCACTTTGTAGCCCAAGATGGCCTCAAAGTCACAGCGATCCTCCTGCCTCACTCTCCTGAGTGCTGGGTTTACAAGCGTGTGCCATCATGCCTGGCCCACCCACTAATCTATATGGCCAGAGCTCCCAGGCCTCCAGTTCTAGGAGAGCAGGACCAAGTCTCTGTCGAGAAGCATGCTCACCTGCCTCCCTCATTGCAGACGAAGGACACACTCAGTGTCGGGGTAGGGTGGCAGGTTCAGCTGGTACTTCTTTTCCAAGGTAGGTGGTACAAAACGACCCCCCAAGTAATGGTAGCGACCAGTAAACTGGGTGGCAGACTTTTTGGGTGCTGTTAAGGAGATGAGCATGTCTGGTTGGATCCCTCCAGAGTTTCCTTTTTCCACATCCCATCCTGAAACGAGAGTAATGTTCAAGAGGCATAGAAAAGGTCACAGGTCTTAGACCCCTTCCACACCTTGCTCTAGGAGCTCATCCTAGGAACATGCACGTTTGGGCTTCAGTGTCTTCATGGGGCTCACATGGAAAGGGGCCTCCTGAACTGTGTTCCCCAGCCTTAATATGGGACCTGAAAGCTGTATTCTGCCCACCTAGACAGAAAATTGAGACCTTATCCAAGCTGTGTCTCAAGAATTAAGACTTCTAGGTATCAGCCTTGAGACAGTGTAGGGCCTGTCCTCCCCAACCTTGAGATCCCAGCACCTGAGGGAATGTCGATGCTGGCAATGGGCACAGTGAGTTCATGCAGGACACTCAGGATGCTGCGGAATGGCTCACGAACATCGCCTTTGAAGCTGAAGCCAAAGATAGCATCTACCACCAGCTCATAGAGCTCATCAATCATCATGGGCTGCAGTGAGGAAGAAAAGGACATCAGGGCTACAATTGCAGACAGCCTTATTGGGGAGAGCTGGCCCCAGCCAGAGCCCTCAGCACAGTACAGCTGTGTTTCATTCAGAGGGTCTCCTAAGGTCTTTTTTTTTCCATTGCAGAATTTATTTTTCTGAAAGCCCCAAGCCACTTCACAAAATGAACACCTTAATACAGGCTTTCTCTCAGAAATTAATTTTTTTAAAAAATAGGCAAATGACACGTATACAACTACTTCTAATCAACGTGAAAAAAATTTTGTGCTCATTTTATGGACTGTGTCCTTCACTTCTTTATTTCTCATGCTGGTTTTTTTTTTTTTTTTTTGCGGAACTAGGTATTGAATTCAGGCCCTTGCGCTTGCCAGGGAAGCGCTTATTCCACTGAGCCATCTCCCCAGCCCCTCTCCTAAGGTCTAGAGTAGGGGGTAGCTAGTCACTGGATGACACCAAGCTAAGTCTAGACATTGTTTTGGCAGTACTGTACTAGGGTCTGTGGAACCCAGAAGAGCTCTGCCACCAGGTACATCTCCATCTTCCCAACTTTGAGGCAGGGTCTTGTTCACTTGCCCAGGCTGGGCTCAAAATTATGATCCTACTGTCTCAGCTTTCCAAGTAGTTGGGATTACAGGTGCAGACCAAGCCCAGCCTGAAAGCTTTTCTATTCCAAGTGCTTGTTTGCCAGTGGAAAGGCTGCAATGAGGCTGGATTCTGGTTTTAGCTGTGTGATACAGGACAAACCACTTCTCTGTATTTCATCTGTAAAATGTAGGAAATTAAAAACATATCAGATTGCCAACCCTAAATTCATACATCTGCAGAAAAAGTTTAGAATGAGGCAGTTTCTGCAGCCCTGGAGATAGGTCACGTGCAGTCTGTTAGGAAGGTCTGATTATAGAAAGGAAGGCGTGACTGGCAGAGAATGCTTGAGAGGTGTTGGTGTTAGGTGTTCCTGAAACATAGCTCATGGAAGAGAAAGTTATTCTACCATTTTTGTGTGTGTGTGTGTGTGTGTGTGTGTGTGTGTCTTTGAGACAGGGTCTCACTGCATTTTAGGCTGACCTTAAACTCACTCTGTAACCCAGGCTGGTCTTGAATTCACAACAATCCTTCTGCCTCAGCCTCCCAAGTGGTGGGAATATAGGCCTGCACCACCACGCCCTCTACCACTTCTTTTATGCTGGGCTCCACGTGAGTGAGCCCCAACTGGAAACAGGAAGAGCAGGGTATGGTCAGTGGTAAGGGGGAGAGAGACTGAACTGAAGCCTCTCACTCACCTCTGAAGGCATTTCACTGAGGAAAGGGATGTCCATTTTCTGACACTGGGTCACCAGTGCAGTAAAGAGCGGTTTGTTAGGTTTCTTGGGGTAATAGATGGTTGGTTGGTAACCCTAGGAGAAAAGGAAAGGGGCAATTCACATTCAAATCTGTAGTCTTCGTGACCTCCCTCAGGCGTCCATTTCCCATCCACTCACAAAGAGTTTGAGGTGTCGGGCACAGACCAGGCCATCTCCTCCGTTATTCCCCGGGCCACAGATGACCAGGACAGCGGGGGGGCTCTTGGACATGGCCGCGGCAGGATACGCCTGAAGGCAGAGGCAGGGATTCGGGCAGTCGGCCTCCAGGCGCAGGGCTTGAAGAGCGCCACCCCCGCTCCTCCCAGAGGCCGCGAACTGCACCCGACCTTCGCGATGGCTGTGGCGCAGCTCAGGCCAGCCAGCTCCATGAGTTGGTCCACGCTGAACTGGTACTCGTTAAATAGCTCCTGGTCCACGGCCTGCGCCTCCTCCTGGCTGTGGGAAGCCGCCGCCTGAGTCTCCGACCGGCCGGTAGCGTCCCGGTCCCGGTCCGGGTCCCGGTCCCGCCCCCGACTTCGCCTACCTCAGGTATTTCACCGCCGTGCCCGCCATGACTTCGGAGTTCCCACGGCCGGCAGAGCTCAGTCGCCTCGCCCCCCACCACAGACCTGCTCGGCAAACGCCTGCCTGGCCTCGCACGCGTCCCAGCCGCGAGGCAGACACCAGCAGCCCAAGCCCCAGGAGCACCCGTAGCCTAGACATTCAACCCGCTCGGCGCGCGCCGCCGCCCCGCCCCCGGCGCATGCGCGGAGCGCGCTCCGTCCCGAGCCGCTGGGTCGGCCGCGCCCTTTCCGGAAGCGGTCGGGCGGCAGGCGGTGCGTCGGGGCTGCTCTGGTTCCGGGGAGGGCCGCGCGCTGGGGAGTGCTGAGCGCCGTTCCGCCGCCGGGCGGTCGGGGCACACTCTATGACAGTTGGATCCCATCCCTGCCCCAGAGCATGGACAGATGCCCACGTTTCAAATGGGCCCAAGGGCTTTGCTCCCAACCGCGCTTTGGTGATATTCATTCACGGTTTGTAGTTGTTTGGGGACATGTGCGAGGGCCTGCGGACGGAACTCGGTGACAGGGGGCTTGTCTAGCTGTTTGATGGAGTTTGATACCCAGCAAGAGAAACCAGAAGCCTGCGCTCCTGCCCCGCCTTTTTCTGACTTGGGCCCTCCTGGTGCCAGTCTTGCAATACACGAGGAACAGGCAGGCATACTTCACAGGGCCAGTTCTGGCACAGCCCTCTGCAGGGCCGGGTCCATTTGCTGTGTAAGTTAGGCCAGTTATTTACCCTAAGGAATTTGGACCCTTGGCTCCCTGACATCAGTTTCCCCTACTTCTCTTTTTACCAGAGTATCATATTAACTTCCTTATTATAACCCTAAATAGCCCGGTGTGGTGGCTCATGCTTGTAATCCCAGCACTCAAGAGACTGAGGCAAGAGGGTAGTTGCAAGTTCAAGACCAGCCGGACTACAAAGTGAGCTTAAAGCCAACCTGAGAGGGGGCCGGAGAGATGGCTCAGTGGAATAAGTGCTTCCCTTGCCCCATCCAGTGTAGCTCTTGAAACTCCATAGGGAGGACAGTGGAGGATGAAAGAAAAAAAGATAAAGAGTCAATCAAGATACAGAAAGCTGAGATCAGGTGGAGCACTACCTGGCAACTGCAGCACATTTATTTATTTATTTATTTTTAAATGTATTTTTATTTTTTTTTATTTTTTTTAAAGCAGATGCTACTATTTTTTTTAATTTTATTTATTTATTCATTTAGTGTGTGTGTGTGTGTGTGTGTGTGTGGCCAGCTCAGCCCACCAGGGGGCGGGGCTGGCTGGCATGTGGTGCTGGGGATTGAACCGTGGTTCCTGTGCTTTGCCAAGCTTGTTCCAAGAGGTGCTTTAGACCACTGAGCCATCTCTCCAGCCCTGTATTTTTATTTTTTATTTATTTTTGTGTATGTGTGGCCAGCTCAGCCCACCAGGGGGCGGGGCTGGCTGGCATGTGGTGCTGGGGATTGAACCGCGGTCCCTGCGCTTTGCTGAGCTTGTTCTAAGCAGGTGTTTTAGACCACTGAGCCATCTCACCAGCCCAGCACATTTATACAATCAGAATGTTGTTTACAGAGAATTTAAGGGGAAGGTAAAATCTGGAACAGAAAGAACATCCAGTCTTCAGCAAAACATCATGCCTTGGTGGCTGCACAAGGAACAAGAGGGGAAGTGTTTATTATTACCTCAGGGGAAGGCCAGGTCACTTTGTTCCTCAGCTCCCTGAGCTACATACACTTCTCTTGGGGCCCTGCCAAACTCATGAGAAGCACTGACCTTGAGCAGAGGTCCAGACTGCTTTGCTTCCAACATGTAACCTCCCTTTTCTTGCTGAAAGCAAAAAGTAAGCCAACTGGTAGTACATGCCTGTGATCTCAACACTCAGGAGGCTGAGGCAGGAGGATCACTAATAGTTTGGGCTGTGTAGTGAAACTTTGTCTGAAGAAAAAAAGAAAAAAGAAGGAAAGAAAAGACTTCTGTATGTCAAAAGAAAAGGATCATCAAAAATGGAGAGAAGTGGAGAGAAATCTGACAGACTTTATCTTCCTCCCCATACACTTTATTTGCTTTTCCATAACTGTTTTTCCTTTCTTCAACCTAGTATAAAAGCATGGGGCTGGGGGCTGGGGAGATGGCTCAGTGGAATAAGGGTCTTATTCCCTGGCAAGCACAAGGGTCTGAGTTCAATTTCCGGTTCCACCAAAAAAAAAAAAAAAAAAAGCATGGGGGGTCTGCCCATTAGTTCAGGTGTTTAAGTGCCTGCTGAAACAAAGCAGTCTGGCTCAAGATGCTGTGGTTCGATCCCTTCATCCTCAAGCCAAACCACACCTGCCCTGAAGGCATCCTGAGTGGCACCCCAAAAAATAAAAATAAAAACATCTAGGTTTTGCTACTTTTGGAGGGTGTTCGATTTCCTCATGATGCCGCCTGTGTCACACAAAACCTTTTAACATCTGCATACTTTTCTCCTGTTATTTGTTTCATGTCCATTTAATTCTCAGACCCAGACAGAGATCCTTAAAGGGTAGAGGTTAGGGCACACGCTTGTAATCCCAGCACTCAGAAGGCTGAGGGAGGAGGCTTTCTGCAACTTTGAGGCCAGCCTGGGCTACATAGTTCAGGGGCAGCCTGAACTATACATTGAAACCCTGTCTATAAATAAGTAAATAAAGGGGGCAGGCCAGATAGTTCAGCAGACTAAAAAGCGCTTGCTTAGGCAGAGCTCAGCCGCTGGGGCTCGATCCCTGGTGTGCTGTGCCGGCCCTGCCCCCAGGGCATGCTGGAACTTTTCTAAAAATTAATTAGAAAAAAGTAAACAAAGACTAGAGGTTAGCTTGCCTCCCCTATGCCTCCTTATCTGACCTAAAGAGAGAAAATTATTTTATTTCAACTTCAAATATATTCCTTTATTCCTTGTCAAAGTGGAGTGCTGGTCTTTTCTCTTACATAAACCTCACCAGTTACAATTCATCTGCAATGTTCGGTCTGCTTCTTTGAAGTGAATCAACAAAAAATAAATAACACTAAAGTGAATCAACAGTAGCATGTTTGGAGCAATGTGAGTGTATAATCCCGCTGGAATCGTAATGATTTTTCTCCAATTTGTAATCTTGCTCACATTTAATTCAACAGCAGCTTTTGAAACTGACTCACTTTAATCAGGTATTTTAAGGATCCAGCTCAGTTTTTAGAAACAGTGCTTGTCTTCACACTTAGTTCATCCACTTACATAATATTTAGCTAAATTCCACCTTACAATAATGCACACAACCAGCATGACACACATGAGACATCACGACAGCCTGCTAAGCAAGGCTTGGCCAGGGGAGGGAGGTATGCGGCAGACTTAAGGTCCGCGCTGCTGGGTTCGAAGCTTCTCCACCTACTTTGCATGACCTAGAATTGAAACCTCCTAGCCCCTCTGAGCTTTTTCTGCTTAACCAAGAAAGGGGATAACAACAGTGCCTCCAAAGCTTGGGAGAAGGAAACTCTGTAAGGTTGCAGGGGCTTGCTCTCAGTGTTCAGCAAATGTTCTGTCCTTGTTGCTTGCCTTGGCATTTGTCATCATCCTGCAGACTACAAGCCCCAGAAGGTGGAGTGCATGGGCTGGTTGGATGTCTTCTGCTACCAGGCGGTGCACTGCTGTAATTCCCCCACACTGTGGGAGGCTGAGGCAGGAGGGCAGCATGTTCAAGTCTAGCCTGGGCAACTAACTGACTTAGTGAAGTTACCTTCTTTAGCATTACATCTCCACTTCCCACATGAGTAAAGGTAACCTGCGGGAAAAAGTCAGTGACTCCAGAATCACCAAGTCACCTAAGCAAGAAGTCACAGTTTGAGAACTGCCAAAGGCCTTAGTGACCATGAGGTTTGCATCCAAAAAGAAAAAGGGAAATACACCTCCTTTTTCTTTTTGCCCACTAAGTCCCAAACTCCTCAAGAGGAGCACAGAGGCCGTCTCGGGCTGAGAGGGCATTGCTCACTCCCCTCACATGGGTGCCCACTCACTGTGTTCCCTGCACCCATGCGGGGGCAAAGGCCTGGGGAGGGCTCCACCCCCACGTCTCACTCCAAGCATCCAGGTCATGTGATTGTGCAGAAGCCAGACTGAGTGGCTCCTCTCCTCAGAGGGCTCCTATTGAGGGCTTCCCCGGACTGCCTGGATGACCTAAGGAGGCAGAGAGGGACTGGCCAACAGGGCACTGGGGGAAAAACAAGGGGCCAATTCCCTGGCTCCAGCGTCCTGACCCTCCCCGACCCTCACTTCTGTAGGGAGACTCCCTCCGGGGCAGGAGGGAGGGCACTCTGGGCCCACTCCTCCTGCAGGGCTCTGCTCTACCCTGAGGCCTGCATCAGGCCATGCAGAAGGCAGGCCTCCAGAGTTGGTCCAGAGCTGTTCAGACTGCTGAAGGGTAAAGATGAAGGGGCTCAAGGCCTGTACCCAAGCACCAGATCACATCTCCGACTTCGACATTGGTTGTGACCTATTAAGACCATCCCAAGCACAACCTTGTCCACTTCCTTTGTCCCTCCTTCAGAGGCTCACCTGTTACCTTTGGGGCTGCTGTGTACCAGAACATGAGGAAGATGGTTTGCGTGTTCTGAACCTGGAAGAAGAGGGTCACATACATTCATCACAGGTCTCCCCACACTAAGGACCATCATGGTGGGAACAAGAAAACTCCAGGAGAGGGACAAAGTGGTATGTCAGGGGACACACTGACATAAGTACACAAGGGGTGCCCTAAAGACTGTACCCAGGCTGGTGAGATGGCTCAGTGGTCTAAAGCACCTACTTAGAACAAGCTTAGCAAAGCACAGGGACCGTGGTTCAATCCCCCAGCACCACATGCCAGCCAGCCCTGCCCCCTGGTGGGCTGAGCTGGCCACACACACACAAAATTTAAAAAAAAAAAGAATATTAAAAAAAAAAAAAAAAAGACTGTACCCTTCACTGGCAGGCGCTCAGTAAGCATGAGCTGAACAGAAGGTCTGACCCACTGGCTTTGAGGACACACTGCAATGCAGAACCTGAGTGAGTTCAAGCCAGCTGAACAAATAGCAGGGAACTCACTCTGCTCCCAGGGCTGGCAGCCTCAGAGGGAGTCTAACGAGCAGCGTTGAGCTGTGTTAAGAAAAGCACCCAGCCAAACACTGTCAGGCTCTCAACAAACCCAAGTGTTCTGAGACCCAAAGTTCTACAAGTTAGGAAAGCAGTGGAAGCACGAGGAAGGGGCAGATGTGACAAGGGTTCAGGGGGAAACAGGCCGTGGTGTGGAGACGAAACAGAAATGTGGGGAGAGCTGTATCAGGGATTGGCAATGTGGACAGCCAGGGTCAGGGTGGCTCGAGGGCCGACCTAGGGTAGGAGGACCAGGAAGGTGGGAAGAGAGTTCCACTAGTGGGGAGGCAGGCACAGCCCCAGCTGCCCACTGCCACTCACACTCCAGTTGCTGAGGCCCAGATGTCACAGGAACATGTGCTGACCCGTCTTCTTTCTCTTGGTGGCCCTCCTCAGACACTCTCTCATCCCATCTACTGAGAGATCTGCAGGGCAGGGAACTGGGGCACAGCCCAGCATTGGGGCACCCGGGCCAGGTTTGCTCCTCCCTGGGCTACTAATGAGGTCCTTGCATCCTCCCCCACCAAAGCCCCACACACTCACCTGCACTGGGCGTCTGCTGAGCCCCTTTGCATCCTGGCTGAGGTCTCTGCCATGCAGCAGGCCCTGCCTAGGGCCTCAGGCCTTCCCAGAGCCAGGGTCTAAGGTGGCAGGGAGGTCAGGGAATGAGTTTAAGAAACACAGTCCCCCAGATGTGCGTGTGGGTATATGTTGTCTTCACCTGCCTGCAAGGAGACAATGGCCCCAAAGAGAGAAACACTTGGTAGAGATAATGGGGGGTGCCGCTTGTCACTGAGAATTCCAGGGTGAACCTGTTGTTTTCTGAGGGATCCCCTGAAGCTCTCATGCTAGAAATAATACTTGTGGGCCTGGTCAGGGTCTGTCTACCACTCCACCCTGCCCAGAGCCTCACCTGGCAAGAGTTGGTGGCCCTTCAGGTGGGGCCTGGGTCTGCCGACCCACAACTTAATCCTCTGTCTGTACCAGACTATTTTTTTTAAAGCAGGATCCCACTAAATTGCTAAATTGCCCATGCTAGGCTTGAATTTTCAATCTTTCTGCCTCACCCTTCCAAAGTACTGATATTAGAGCCCTCAGCCACCATGACCAGCTCAGGCTTTTTTTTTTTTCCCTGCAGGCTTCCTTCAGCAGCACAAATACTAATGTTTTTTTCAGAGCTGGGTTGAAAGCCCAGACAAGTGCTAGGCAAGTGCTATACCACTGACTTGCAACCCCAGGTCCAAGGTAATTTAATTTTACTTGCAGTTTATCAACATGACCTCCTCATCTTTAAAAATGAGAAGCCGGGCTGGTGAGATGGCTCAGTGGTCTAAAGCACCTACTTAGAACAAGCTTAGCAAAGCACAGCGACCGCGGTTCAATCCCCCAGCACCACATGCCAGCCAGCCCTGCCCCCTGGTGGGCTGAGCTGCCCCCCCATAAATAAAATTAAAAAAAAAAAAAATGAGAAGCCATAGGCCCTATTAAATACATATAACAAAGTATGTACTATAAAGTATTTGAATTCCTGGTATGGGAGGAGGTTTCCTAAGGAAGGCACTGGGAAGGCACTGGAGAGACAAAGAAGGCCTTGAGTGTAGAGTTTGGGGAAAACAGACTGGCTCCAAGCTGAGGGGTGAGGACTTCCTAGGAGCACCACTCCCATCCTGTGGCCATTGGGGGAACTGCAGTCAGGGACTTAGACCCGTTTCCACCTCCTCATACATTTCCTTTAGTTAGGCTCCTTGACTGAACGCTTGGCCTTCGCTCAATGGGATTCTTAGCACTCAGCCAAAGCCCTGGGGCATCCCTGTGCTGGACGTGTGCCACAGTCCCCACTGCCTCCCTACCCCAGGCACATAATATGTACAGGCAAGCCTAGGGGCAGTCAACTGCCCTGGGAGAACATCAGGCCTGCTTACTCTCAGCTTCCTCTGGGCAAACACCCCACCCCACCCAGTTCCTGGTCTCAGATATCATCTCACCAAGGGGTGACCCTGGACCAGCCCACCTGTGTCAAGTGGGTCCTCACGGCATCTGCCAGCTTGGCCACCAGCCGTCCTCGTGTAGAATCTGGCTCCTTCTGGGGAAGAGGATAAATGGGAAAAGGATGAGGGAGGCCTGGGCTTTGTGGTCCTCAGGGGACTAAGGGAGACAGAAATGAGAAGGAAAGGAGGGGGCTTTTTCTCCATTCTCTTCTACTCTATCCCTTTGCCTTTCCCAGGTCCTGGCATTGACTGACCAGCACTGCGAACAGAGACCACCCCCTCCCTACAGTAGTATCCCACACTGGCCACACTATGTGCAGTTCCTGTTTGATGAGTGAATGAATGATGGTAGAGAGGGGACAGGAGCAAAGGCAGGAAGGCTAGAAGGCTTCTAAAGGGATGGCAGGGAAGAATCAGAGTCTAATAGAGAAGATCTTACCTGACACTGCGCCAGTGCTTCCATATAGTACTTCAAGGCTTGGTCATACTGCCCCAATCTGACCGCAGCAGCCCCAAGCCCCTCGCAGGCCTGCCACTGCCCCTTCATGTCCCCTGGGGAAGAGAACCTGAAAGGTCCCTTCACGGTTCCCCATCCCATGACTTTCCCCTCCAGAGATACCCCTCCACTCCCCCACCTACCTCTCACCAGCCCTAAGGATCCTGTCTTTGCCATCCCCCATCCCATGCCAACCCACACACACTTACCAGTGTCCCGGGCAGCCTGTAGAGCGTGTAGGTAGTTGTCTCTGGCCATCCTGTGGTCCCCCAGCTGACTCAATGCGAAAGCCAGGCTAGCAAAGCTGCGGCCCTGCTCCCAACGCTGCCCCACAGAGCCTAAGGACAGAAGAGCACCCATCCTAAAGGGGCTGCTGGGAGAGAGCCCAGGAACCCTAGTGCCCAGCCTCTGCTGGCATTCACATGGCCCAGCCTCTCCCTGCAGGCCTTGCATCACCCAGTTTTGGCCCATATGCTGGTTTAAGCCATGCAACAACTTTGTGAGACAGGTGAGGAAGGTGTCAATGGCTTCATTCGTGTATGTGGGGAAGGATACCATAGTTGAGAGAGGCAGGGACTTGCTGAGACTCACACCAAGGCTGAGCTCCATTCTAGACCTCCTCTTTCTGAAGCACTGCTGCCTCCCATCTGACTCTCCCATACCCTGCACTCCCAGCCTTACCCCTAGATCTGGGCTTCCAGGATGTATGAGGCCTGGAGCCCCTATGGAAGCTCCCTCTTAATCCACCAGTCCAGCTCTCAGCCTCAGGCACTCACCATGCAGATGGGCAGCCTTCTGGTGAAAGTCGCAGGCTTCTTGATAGTTGCCCAGGGCATTGTGGGCCATCCCCAGATTCCTTAGCACGGTGGCCTGCTCTCCTGGTCGCTGGCACAGGGGCAAGGCCTGCAGGAAAGACTCCACAGCCAGGGGGAACAGCTGGAGCTGGGAGTAGCCCAGGCCAAGGTCATTGTAGAGATGCCCTAGAGGTCACAGGGTGGTCACTAGTAGCCAGATCAGTCACAACTAAGGCTACAGGGGTACCATCCCATCCATTCCTCCAGGGTCACCCAGACCCTTCCACAGAGCTCAAACTTCCCCCCACCCCACATCTTCTCTGCTCAAGAGCTCACCCAGCAGCCCCTGCTCCGTGCTCATCTCAGCAAGTGTCCGGCTCTCCTCCAGTGCCTGCACCACCTCACCTACCCCGTGCTGCCCACTCTTCAACATACACCTGGCTGCAGCCCCTAATGCCAGCGCTGCAGCGCGGGACTGCCCTGCTTGGACATAGGCCTGGCTTGCCTTCTTCAGGCAGTGGGCTGCTTGCTCAGGCCGCCCCAGGGCCTGGTAGCAGGCTCCCATTTTTGCCTGGGCTTCTCCCTGGTCACCCTGTGGCTGGTAATGCCCCAGGGCCTTCTGGTACCAGTCCAGAGCTTGGAGCAGGTCTCCAAGGGCATGGTAAGCCAAAGCCACATTGAAACACTGGTCACCATGACAACTGCCCTGGGCCTTCTCTTCAGGCTGAGCTCTCAGGAGCAGCTCAAGGCCTCTGGCTGGGTCCCCAGTCTCCACATAGGCAGCCCCCAGGTTGAAGGCACAGGCCCGAAGGACAGAGGTATCCCTGACCCCTGGGGCCTCTGAGGCCAAGAGGAAGGCCTTCTGGAAGCTGACCATGGCCTCATGGCTCTGGCCAGCCTGGAGGGCCCTGTGGCCGGCCTTGGTGAGGGCTTGAATGTTGGCCTCTTGCTGCAACCATTTTTTTTTCTTCTTCTTCTTCTGGCAGTTGGGGGGCTTGGGCTCCTGGAGTGTCTCCTCGTGGCTAGGGGAAGACATAGGGCTAACAATGGGGGACAGAAGGGTCAGTAAGTCAGCCTTGCCCTCCCACCCCTGCAGCAGGATCCCTTGGGGGAAATTGAGCCCTATTGCTGTCCTGTAGAGACCTCAGGGTTCCAAGAAAATCTCTATCTCTGTCTGTGTCTGTCTGTCTGTCTGTCTGTCTGTCTGTCTGTCTCTCTCTCTCTCTCTTCTTTTTTTCTTTTTTCCTTCCTTCCTTTCTGTCTTCCTTTCTGGTACTGGGGATCACACTCAGGACCTTGCTCTTGCCAGGCAGGCGCTTATGCTGCTGAGCTATCTCCCTGGCTTAGTCCCAAGGACTAACACTATCCAACACTCACTTGACTTCATCTGTCCCATCAGGCTAGACATCAACCCTCACTCTAATGTTCTGTCTTTAGTTCTCCTTTGGGATTCAGGTCGACTTACAGGTTTCCTCGGAAAGGTTTCTTCCCCCAACCAACCATGAACTTCTGTGGCCCCAATAAAACTTATGTCTGTGTCTTTTATGGCATTTATCACATGGTTAGAGAATCTCTGTCTTTCCTACCGGATGTGGAACTTGAAGACACACAGTAAATTCTAAATAGAAGTCTATTGATGGCGTCAAGCGTATGCTGGTGTGTTAACAGGGAATGGAACACTGTTATGGCTGCCTGCCTGTGATGTGTGACCAGAGAGTGGCACATCCCAGCCCTGCAGCGGTTCCTGTTCCTGTCCTACCCTCCAGTGCGAACATTCTTGAGGAAGACCCTGAAAGAGAGCCCAATATTGCAAGTACTGAGACCCATGAAGGCTATAAAACCCATGACATAGGACAACTAAAGAAGACAATGTAGGAGGCTTGTTACTGGTGACGCAACAGGGCCTCCCACAAACTCCTGAGAATATGTTTGTGGCTACAATGGCCATCATGAACTGTGCACTGCTTCTGCTGCTGCAATTACAAAAACAAAAAGGGGGAAATGTTGGGGGACCATAAATTATAAATTGAGGTCAGGACCCACAGGCCTTAATTTTTCTTTTTCTTTTTCTTTTTTTAACGTATTTGGTACAGAGTCTACAGGGTCTACAGGGTCTCACTATGTAGACTGGATTTGTAGTGATTCTCCTGTTTTCAGCCTCCCAAGAGCTGGGATTACAGGCTTGCGCCACCACACCCAGTCTCAATCGTGGTCTCAGCATGCCTCGGGGTTGGGGCCAGCATGGCATGCTGGGGATCAAACCCAGCCACTGTGCTCTGCCTAAGCAAGTGCTTTAGTCTACTGAGCTATCTGGCCAGCCCCTTAATGAATTTCTTAATGCTCCTGTGGTGCTATAATGTCCCAGGGCAAGATCCTTCTTAGTGTAAGATCATTGTTCTCTGAATCATCCAGTGATCCTCATCAACATAAGATCCTTTTTTTTTTTTTTTTACATAAGAGCCTTTCTGCCATGAGACTACCACTGCCCTCCAGAATAATCCACAGTCTCCTTACCGTTTTCCTTGTGTAAATGTGATCAATAAATACTAAGTAAATAGCAAGGTTCTGACTGGCTTTTAGTTTCATGTGAACAGCTGCTCATCCCAGATCCCTGCTGCTGCACTGCCAAAAAAAAAGCCAGATCTGATGGTTGTCCTGCAATCACAGCATGCTGAGGCAGGAGGATCACAAATTCGAGCTCTCAGCAACTTAGCAAGGCCCTATCTCAAAATACAGAAACAAAAAAGGTCTAGGGATGCCATTCAGAGTAAAGCTTTGGGTTCAATCCCTCATCTCTCTGTCTCTCTGTCTTTCTCTGTTTCTCTGTCTCTGTGTCTGTCTGTCTGTCTGTCTGTCTCTCTCTCTCTCTCTCTCTCTCTCTCTCTCTCACACACACACACACACACTTAGGATGAGGGTATAATTCCATAATAAAGCACTTGCTGGCATGCATGTGGCCTAGCACCAAAAAAAATTTTATTTATTTATTTTTTTGGCGGAACCAGGGATTGAACTCAAGCCCCTGCGCTTGCGCAGGAAGTGCTTATTCCACTGAGCCGTCTCCCCGGCCCCCAAAAAACTTAAAAGTTAAATGGTAAGTTTTGTGTTATATCTACTGATTTGTTGCTCGTTTATCGAGTGAACGTTGAATGGCACACACAGGGCTTCCCCGTCACCTCCTTATGCTGCCTCCTGTGGCCTGCTCATGGTCCAGGCCTGTGAGCTCCTGGGAGTGCTCACTAGGCACAGGGGCCAGAGCTGAACAGGCTGCTGAATGTGCAAGGAGCCAAGCTCCAGGAATGGATTCTGCTGTAGCATTTACACCCCCTCCCCACCTAGAGTGCTTCTGTCTTCCCATCTCCTCTGTTGTCTAGTGGCTGGTTCTGGACTCCCAACATCATGCCTGGGTCTCCAGAGCCCCCCAAAACTTAAATATCTTCATCTCATCAGCATGAGCATCCTGTTCCTAGCTTTCCCCTGAAGGCAAAGCCCTCTGCTAAACCTTCCTCCCAGAAGACAGAAAAAGGAATGGAAAAGACCCAGCCCTTGGTCACCTGGCCCCTCTCCTCCTCTCCCTTGTTGCTCTTTTTTTTTCTTTCTTTCTTTCTTTCTTTCTTTCTTTCTTTCTTTCTTTCTTTCTTAGCAGAGTAGGCAAAAGTGATGCTTTCTCTCTTCAGAGAAATTCTCTTTGTTTCTAAGAACACCCAGCGCTCCTGACTTTTCAGGAGTATTTTTCAAGGGGACTCCGGGTCCCCTACCCAGTCTTGGGGGCTACCTCTGTAGGGAGACTTACCTCTTTGGTTTTCTCTGTAGATGGCTTTTCTGGAATGGTTCCTCTGGGTTGAGTTACTGTCCCTCCCTCTTAGCTCAGAGCCCCCAGGGTTACCAGACAACCAGGTACCACCCTCCCACTGCTAGAGAATTCTTTGAATGACAGCTCAGATGACCTGTCTTAGTGCTGAACTCTGATGCTTGGCATAGATACCTGACTGGCCTGCCCAGTCTGTCCTGCTGCAACCTGACCCCTCAGGTCCCTTACTCCAAGGAGTAACTCAATGCATCATGGGGCTCAAGATCATCTATCCTGTCCCATCATCTCACAGAGGAAGTATCTGAGGCTCAAAGAGTAGTTGAGACAGCTGAGTCACATGACAGTCATGTAGCTGAAATTAGACCTCAGGTTTTTGGTTTTTTTCCTCTTTTTTGTGATTCTGGAAGATTGAGCCCCCATGCTTTGTCCCTAGTCCTTTTCATGTTTTTTTTTTTTAATTTATTTTTTATTTTAGGGAAAGGTCTACATGGTATTCAGGGTCTCACTATTAGATCAGACTCGAATGATCCACCTGTTTACAGCCTCCCAAGAGCTGGGATTACAGGTGCATGTCACCACACCCCATCTCAATCCCCAGGCCCTGCACCTGCTTGCAGGTGCTTTAATCCGCTGAGCTATTTGGCCGGCCCCTTCTTTTCTTGTTTTATTTTGAGACAGGGTCTTGTTAAATAACTAAGTTTCTCAGGCTAGGATTGAACTTGAACTTGCAGTCCTGCTTCAGCCTCCTAGAGTGCTGGGATTATAGATATTGAAGGAGCCTGACCATCACCATCCTGACCAGAGACCCCTCTTTAGAACACCCCCACCCACCACTACCTTGGGCAGCCATTATTGCTGGAGTTTTTTTTTTTTGTTGTTGTTGTTGTTGTTGTTTTTGTACCAAGGATCGACCTCAGAACCTGGCGCTTGTCAGGCAAGCACTTATATCCACTGAGCTATCTCCCTGGCCTCAACCTCTGGAGTTTTATCAAGCCTTGTTCTGGCAGGTAGCACAGCCCCCTCTCACTGAACTCCCCTCTCCCATGACCTTACAGCCTGTACAAGAGTAGTTGCTCTGGTCTCTACTGCCAGAGCAGTCTGTCTCAGGATTGTTCTGCAGTAAACCTCACCTGTTGAACTCGTACATCTGTTTCCTCTTTTTCTTTTTCCTAATCACTACCATGCTGGGATGGACCCCAGGTTTTCTGATTCAAGGTACTCAGTTGAGGGCCTCATCCACTAACAAGATGATTGCAAAATGCGATGGGGGGGCTGGTGAGATGGCTCAGTGGTCTAAAGCACCTACTTAGAACAAGCTTAGCAAAGCTCAGGGACCTCGGTTCAATCCCCCAGCACCACATGCCAGCCAGCCCGCCCCCTGGTGGGCTGAGCTGGCCACACACACACACACACACAATAAATAAATAAATAAAAATAAACTTAAAAAAAATAAAATGTTTAAAAAAATGCGATGGGGCTTGGGCTGTGATGGAGGCTAATCCTTCACACACACACACACACTCTCTCTCTGTCTCTGTCTCCATCTCTGTCTCTCTCTCTCTCTCTCTCTCTCTCTCTCTCTCTCTCTCTCTTCTCTGTGGTAGTTTCACATTTGGGACCAGGGTGAAAGGTTGATGGTCAGAAAAGGCCTGGAGATCAGAAGAGCCTCCCTGTCCCCTCACCCCTTATCTCAGCTCCAAGAGCAGCAATCTCCAGGTTCTGCTTAATGAGAGGACAACAGGCCCCAGGAGCACAAAGACCCAATGACCAATTTACCAAGGATGGCTGATGCCAGAAAGCAAATGTCCTCACTTACCTGGAGAAGGGCCTTTTAGGTAGTTTTTGTAATTCTGAGGCTACCATGGAGCTATGTTCCCAGCTCTCTTCAGTTATTCTGAGATAGGGTCTGCCTGAATTGCCCAGGCTGGTGTTGAACTTGCAGTCCTCCTACCTTACCCTTCCTAGTAGTTGGGATTACAGCACTACTGCATCCAGAAAGAAAGGCCGCTTAGGGAGAGAGAACTTCGCCAGAAATAAATGTATGAGGATGTGGTTGGACTCGCCTGCATTTCCCCTGCAGCCTTGGCTGTGCGCCTGCTGTGCACAGCGTGGTGCCCCTTTGGTGAGGGTGCCAATGCTTAGGGCAGGTGCTCTCACTGGCTGCAGCTTCCGCCCTCAGGCTGAGTCCTCAGAATAGGTCCAGGCTGGTCCACTCTGCGGGCTTCCCTTAAGGACATGGGGGGGGTTCGGGAGGGGCAAGAACCTCCCAATGAATGACCCAAGGACCATTTCTGACTCATTCCTTTTTGATTCTGAGCTGTATCCATCACATCTCTTGCAACTCCCTCTCTATTTACACTACGTCGTCCATTGTGTCCTGGCTCTCATCTGCCATGACAGTTCTTTTCCCAGCTCCTTTCCTCTGCCCACCTGATAAATGCTAGCCCACTCCAGCACTCTGCCCTTTGTTATTTTCTTTTCTTATTTCATGTACTTTCCAAGAACATTTCATCGATTCCTCCGATTTTAACACTGCTGACAAGCCAATTATGTCTAAATATATACCTGCCGGGGCCGGTGAGATGGCTCAGTGGAATAAGCGCTTCCCTGGCAAGCGCAAGGGCCTGAGTTCAATCCCCGGTTCCGCCAAAAAGAAAAAAAAAAAAAAAATATATA